AACACATCACGCTCGTTCCTAGACGATGTAGTGCCACTGCTGTGCTGTGCACCTCTCTACACTCATTGTGGGCGAGAGGGTGTGTCGCCTCTGCTGCTGCTGCTGTTGCTGTTATCTAAAGCGGTGGCGGAAGCGTCCTGTTCAAACAATCAGCAGCAGCAACATCAGTAGCCGGGGAATTTTCCAACGTTTTTTTTTCCCTCTCTAGCTGATGACGATGGATAGCACCCCCCTCCCTCTCTAGCTGGTGACGATGAATACCACCCCCCTCGCTAGCTGATGATGGACACCATCCCCCCTCTAGCGAATGATGATGGATACCACCCCCCTCTCTAGCTGGACCGCCCCCCGCTCTTCTGTAACAGACCCACGAGCCTACTGCAGGTACATTTGTGCAACCACCACAAAAAACTATTTCACCTCCAACTCTAGTACAAGTAATTTCTACTACGCACACTGCTGTGGGATCCAAGTTTTGTTGTTGTCTGTTGCTTCTCACATTGGCTCTCTTGTTCACAATAAATGGGGAGCCCGCGGTCTCAAAACCCGGCACATACGATGCCGCGGGGAAACAAAACAAAAATAGGGTACAAACCACTCGGAGAAAGAAAACACAATGATAGAAACAAAAGAGCAGGTTCGCACCGGCCGTTCGAGAAAAGAGCCCTCGGAAACCGATCAAAATAAATCAAAAAACAAATATAAAAGAGGACGCTTCCCACACCCGTCTAAAGAAAAAATCAAAGGGTAACGTACCAGCACCAGGCCCTACGCACCAGGGCATGGGAGTAACGGAGCAAACAGGACAAAGAGGCGGCAGATGGGCATACAGCCAGATGTACAAAAACAAAAGCAACAGCAAAGGCGAGATCAAGGTACCCAACACAGCAGAGTAGGCAAGGAGAACATAAAAAAGACAGAAACACAGCACAGAGGCCGAAAGCAACACAAAGGACATACATAGGAGTAAAGCATACAGCAGGGAGGGAAACAGGGCGCAACATCAGCCGGGTACATAGTTCGCCACAAGTGCTGCCTCGGCCGCCCTACTCGCTTTTTCAGCAGTGTTCGGTCGCCGTTTCTTCCCCCCCACCGCCGCTTTCCCGGCTCTCGTTCTCTTCGGTCCTGAGATGGCCGTACTCTCTGCTTCTGCCTCCCTCGCGCGCTGGCGCTTCGCGGACGCTTCCGCCTCCTGCCTGTGCTATTTCCTCATGAGCCATGCCGCCCCGTCCTCGACCTTGTTGTACCACACATCCGGGTACTTGGCGCTCTCTTTCCATTTCCCCCCTTCCTTTTCGTCTCCCATGTTGAAGGCCACGAGGTCCCCTCCCAGACGAGACACCCAGTCGCTCTCCTGCCCGCCCCGGTATCCCGCGCCCCCCGCCATCGCTCCTAACAGCATGCTTGGGTAGGCGGTTGTCCTCCATGCGCATAACCAAGCCCGCGAAACGCAGTCTCCGTTTGCGCACGGTGGCCTCGATGGTTCCCTCGCAGCCTGCCAGGATTAGGGCCTGGGCATAGGAC